ACTTGTCTAAAATCCTCTTGCTGGTGGAGAAACATGTCATTTTAATGATCAGGAGGGAGAGAAGGAGGAAGATGTTGAGAAGGCCTGATGGCTCAGTAGCATGCAAACTCTTACGGATATAACCAAGTGGAAACTCCAAGAGATAAAATCACCTCCCAGGTAGAGGAATAGTTATGTTCCTAGTTGCTTCATGTCATGGTTGGCTATGAAAACACTGTTTCAAGTAAATACTGTGTGTTTTTTTTTTTTTCAGCAGCTATATGTTTTAAAAATCATTATTTTCCAGTACAAAGACATCATCAGGAGCATGCAAACCTTCACAGTGCCACAATGATCTGAGATTGTGTGCAGACAATGACCATCATTTACATCCCAAACCTTTCAAACACGATGAAGAGAAAACATTAGGGTCACAGTTGAGGAAAATGATTTACAACAGCACAATTGGCAAACTAATGAGAAAAACCAATAATTATTATAATATTGCAGGATAACACACTAGGGCTGATTCCTGATAACTTGAAACTTTGATAACTCAAACCTGATGTTCATTAAAAAGTTATTTTGCTCCCTTCAGCATTCAAATTCTCTTTCATGAAACTCTTGAAAACCTAGGCCCTCTTTGACTCTCCTTGAAGGTGTAAGATATTGGGCATAATTTCAGTGATTAACCAAAGGATACAAGTGTGACATTTGAGTTCAGCTGCTTTCACCCTTTCAGTCCCTGACTGCTATATAATTCTTATGATGTTAGTTAATTTGGAGAATTTGGTAATGGATCAACTAGTAATACCATTATTTCTATTTTTTTTTTATTCTCATCACTTGTCTGCTTGATACTATATTGCTATTGTAAGGAGAAATTCTGTCTTGATCACTCATGGTAGTTAAAGGAGCAATGTCAATTTGCTTAATGAAAGCCAGTGAATGAATAATTTTATATCAAGTGATCAAAAGGATACCAATATAGTTCTGTCTGATGAACCAGTCAGCAAAAGAATGTTGGCTGTTTCTTCATTCTGGTATTCTTGTCTTTGATGTAAGAGGAGCATGCACTTAATGGGCCGGGTGTGGCCACTCAAAACACTGAGGCGCTTTCCATTCTATGCATAAAAATTAAATCATTCTAGCTTAAGAAAACAAATATGTTAATAATTCAAGGTAACTGAGCCCTGGCAATAAAGTCTTAGCATGCATAAAATCAATATATCTTATTAGACATTTTGTTGTGTATTATCACGGAGTATTTTTACAAGTTGTGCCATATTTTGACAACCCCCTAGGGCGAGTCAAAATAAAAAAAAACAAGTAAAAATACTCAGTGATACTACACAACAAAATGTCTAATAAGAGATTTATTATCCAAGATGCCAAATTGTTATTTCAGTGGAGGCAAATTTCCTGCATATTTCTAGAATAACCATATCGCATGATATTTGTACTTGTCTCATGCCTTATTTGTACTCTACAAAGCAAATTTGGATAATAAAACATTATACTCAGTCTGATAAGGACCTTAGCATCCCAAATGACTGCAAGGTTATCATCAGAAGCTGATGCAAACCTGGAAGCAAAAATGTATCATTATATAACATATCAAAATACAACATGGTGTAGGGGGCCTTTTCCAAACGAAATTAATTTTCAAAGTTTCCTTCACTGTAGTGCGCAGTCAGCCTTTCATGAACGTCATCTCTTGTTCTTTGAGAGTTGCTACTTTTTTGAAAAATCTTACACTCAACAATTTCTCCAGCATTTGATTATTTTGTTAATAAATTTGGGAAACTCTGAATGCGAATTCAAACAAATAATGTAAATTAGGAGTTCTTGAGTATTGTAACTGTGCTATCTTCACTGTCTGTATTTGCATCTTAAAAACCTGAGCATCTGAGAAGTCAGAGACCAAACAAATTGTCTTCTGTAATTGTTATCTGTCCTAATTGTCCATTCAAAAGGAATTAAGTTAATTCAAAAAAGATTTATCATGGCTTAAGTAATATTGTCCATCCAGGTAAACTTTCCCCACAAGAGGGTTGTTACTTTTAAGCTAGATGGCATTAGTTTCCAAACATTTAAGAAAGACTGTATGTTTGAAACTTACTATAAGTTGCCAGTAATCAAAAGTCATATGTATTTTCACAACTTAATGCTCGTAGAGTTCTATTGCAGTAGTGTATGTTTGTAATTGCATCAGCTCAGGTGGCAGAGAGAGTCTATGATATTATGAGAAATAATCTTATACTAAAAGGGTTCTTACCTTCTGTCATCAATAACAGTTAACAAATGAACAATGTCTGTATGTGAGGACAGTAATCTCAGTTCTGTGAAGGGATTCCTTGGCTGATCATCTTCAATCTCTGGAACATCCTCTACCTTGGTTGTAACAAAAAACATAAAAAGTTGTATCTAATGGAGACTTAACCGTAACGGTAATTTAAAGCTACTGGATGAGGTTGCGCAGATAAGTAAATTTGTCTGGGGCCTCAGCAAAGGAAATGACTGATCTGCGAGGGAAATGAAACATTGTATAATAAAAACTTGGTACCGGACAATGATATCACGATAATTTGAATGGAATCGTACATATTAGTTTAAAGGTATCAGAACTGACACAATACTAGCAATAAAACTGAATTTAAAGTTGTATATTTAATTTTACCTCGAATTCATAAACTTATCTACGGCTCAAATGCCATTACACATAACTTTTGTCAATTAATATCCGTAAAAAGCCTTTGCTGTTTTAACTGCCGATTCAATCGCGAAAATTACAAAATCAAAACATCTGAATCTGGCATTCCCAAGGGTAATAACCTGGGCATAAACAGCTGACGAAAAAAAATTGATTTTGATAGTTTACTTCAAGGTACCTGTTTTCTTCCTTTTTTGTCTCCTCGTTTGCTAAACATTCTATATTTTTTTTTGCATTGGATAACCATACAACTGAGCTTGCCTTCAGTCCTTTCCGTAAAACCTGGACCTAAACTTAATCGATCAAGAGACCGCCATCTTTGATTTTAAAGTAGAGGAGGGAATGAAACGAGGTAAACAACACAACTGTTCTGGGTGGGGAGGGTTAAAGTATGATTCCATTCGTTTATCATGTCAGGTGTATAATTTGCGCGGCTTGGATTTTGTCTGCCACTAGATCAAAGTTTTGTGTTACATATTCTGAATAATAGTCAGTCTACGTGTTTCAGAACCGTGACGGAGAAAGGAAACTGCAAATATGGGGAGGATCAAGCGATGATAGTTAATCTGATAAACGGATAAATACTTTTCCTTTTCCCAGTCCTTAAGTTCTTTTTGAATCGCTCGACCGGTGTTCTTTTGTTTTCCGCAATACAAAAGTGTGTCGCTTATCGCAGCTATTATTAGTTTTCTTCGATGGTAATTTTACGCAGTCACCTCAATGGATTCTTCTTCAACTGTGATCGTCGAGGAATCACTTCCCAAAGACATTTTAGAAGTGTTAGACAGTATGAGACGGCGGAAAGAGTTGTCAGATGTCACACTTGTGGTGAACGCTCGCGAGATAGTCGCACATAAAGCGATTTTGGCGGCATGCAGTCCGTATTTCAGGGCTATGTTTTTGTCTGGCTTTTCAGAGGCGAATGAGCAGAAGATTCATTTGAAAGAAGTCGATTCTTGTGCTGTTCAACTGATTGTTGACTACTTTTATACCTCGGAACTCGAGCTGAATGTTTACAACGTAGAAGAGATTCTCCGAATTTGTGTCCTGTTTCGGCTAACGACTTTAGTTGATCATTGCGAGACGTTCCTTCGACGAAACTTGACTCCGTCGAATTGTATTGGACTTCAGTTCGTCGCCGATCTGTTTTCTCTCGAGGAGTTAAGTCAACATGCTAATCGCATTGCTTTGTGGCATTTCGCAGATGTTTACAAAGAGGACGAATTCAAGAAAATGCCCTATAAACAGCTGAAAGAATTGGTCATGGATGATTCATTGAAGGTTCAGTCTGAAGAGGTAGTCTTTGAAGCTGTTTTGCAGTGGATTAATCACGATACAAGGGTCAGAAAGGATTGCGTACCCGATATCATGCAGTATGTGAGATTTCCTCTCATGAATCTACAATATTTAAATGGAAACGCGGCAATTTCCAAACTCACGACAGAGTACCGCATGTGTAAGGAACTTATCCGCGAAGCAATCAGTTATCAAACAGCCGTGGAAAGTAAATCAACATCATCCCTTGATAATTTCCGTGTCAGACCCCGTATGGCTTCTGAAGAGATCTTTGTCATAGGTGGATGGTCGAATGGTCAGAAAATTAGCAGTGTACAGTGCTTCAATGTGGACACCCTGGAATGGACAGTCGTGGCTGGAATGTCTGTGGCTCATGTAGCTAGAGAGGATTACATTCGTGTAGTTGCTGCTGGTGATGAATTATACACTGTTAGTCGCTACAAAGTGGGGAAGTACGACCCCATTGCCAATTCCTGGATCCAGGTGGCAACAGGTCCTGATGTCCAGTGCAAGTGGGCTGGTGTATGCGAGTATGAGGGATTCATCTATGCCGTTGGTGGTCACAGCAGTATGTGTGCCAAGCAGTTCGACACAGAAACCATGACTTGGAGGTCTCTACCCTCCATGATGTATGCTCGCTACTATCCAGGTAAACAAGACACATTTGGTGACCAAAAGGGAAAAGTTCAAAATGTATGCACAAGTAAATGTACCCTGATTTTTTTGTCTTTTTTTTTGTTATAGGTATTGTTGTTGTTCATCGTGGTTTTTTTTTTTTTTTTGTATGATTGACCATGTAATGGGCTGTCTCACTATGTTGAGTCTGGCCTTTGTTTGCATTAATTGCAATGTTTTGACTGCTATACTGCTATTCAGTCATCAGGTTTACATGTTGCTATTTATAGCACATGTTACATGTATACTGTTATTGGTGTATTTTGATCCTCATTATTAGTTCGGACCACTAGATGTTGTTCCCTCATAGGTCCATTTGTTACAGATCAACTATATTGCTTTTTTGTTCAAAGATACCCATGCTTCTGGAATTTTTATTCTATTAATCTCTATTGATGTTTTTGTCCTAAACAATAAGAAAGAAACAATGAGTACATCACTTATTTTTGAAGGAAAAACCTAGTTTGATAGGAGATATCATAAGGTGGCTCTGATCAATACATGCACCTTTGGCAGGTTTCAAGAAATGAAAATTGTTGGAGTGGATCTCTGGTGAACCCTCAACATAACCAAGATCACCAATTCAGTGCTTCAGTTTTCATGTATAACTTTGAAATCTTTAAAACTAATTTTTTTCCTAGGTGTTGGTGTAGTAGAAGGCAAGATATATGCTGTTGGAGGCCTAGACCACCTTTGGGCACCACTGAACACTGCAGAGCGGTATGATCCCCATACAAACCAGTGGGAGGCCATTGCATCAATGAGCACTGCACGCTGGAGCCTGGGTGTAGCTGTCCTGAAAGGCAAAATCTACGCAATTGGTGGATCAGACAACAGAGAGTCTATTAGCAACAGTGTGGAGATGTACGATCCTGAGAAAGACAGTTGGAGTCAGGCTGTTGCACCGATGAATTCTGGACGTCGCTGTCTGGGTGTAGCAGTGGTGAATGACACCATTTATGTTGTGGGAGGCCGTGTGACAAATAGGATTGAATATTATGATCAGGAAAAAAACAGGTGGATTGTGGTTGGTGCTGTAAACACAAGGTGCAACTTTGGGTGTGTTGCACTTCGCATTCTATAAGAAGTATGTGTACCTACCTGCTGCAAAGAAAATGCTTCAGTGGCAAGCTTGTCCAAAGGTGGTTTTGCAAAAAATATTTATATCAAGCAGATTACAGGTTATAAAACAATTTTTTCCTTTTCATTTTAAGTATGCAAACTTTTTCAACTTCCTGGTATTTTTTGTATTCTTTTTGTAACTGCAAGCTTGATTTCTGAGCTTGATAGGCTTGAAAAGTTTATATGTAGCAGACTCCTGTGTAGTTTTATTTGTCGTACTTACAAAAATGTCGTTATTACTATATATATTGCATGATACAAAACTGGCCACAGGAAAAATTTCTAGTAGAAGTAAGTAGTGCATGATTGAAGGCAAAATCAAATCTTTGAATAATCATTTCTTCTGGGCTATAGCATCTCCATAGTGTCAGCCCTCCCTCCCCAAATTGGCTTACAGTGTCATATATCATATGAAATTAAATTTCTCATATTTCCAACAACTATGAGAAAAGTAATTACCCTTTCTTATAAATTAGATCTTGAAACTCTTTATGAGGTTTTAAAGAAATTGAAGAAACTGCTTTAACTTTTTGTTGACCTTGATAGTCAGGTTCAATTTCCCAAAGATGATCTCTGCTGAGGCTTCTTGATTTGATTACTACTGACAGGTTGACTTTGTTTAATATCTTCTACTGTTTTTGAAAACCAAAACTTGAATTTTATGGTGACAAGTGTGGAAAGCATTTTTGGGTTTGAGTTGCTGAAGAACACCCCCTTCTTTAGAACTAATGGTGCTCACACAAAAGCGTTTTTCTTTTGAAACTCTTTTTATTTATTTGTACCACTGTGGAAACTTCATGAGACACAAAAAATTAATGTGTCCTTAGACTTGATTGTAATTTGACAGTATTAAAAGTGTTTAAGAAGTATTGGCATTAGTTCATTACATCTATAACTGTAAATGTTGGGCAGTGTTTTACAGGACATGAACTTAAAAGCGTTGAACAAATTTTCAAAACTTTGTATTTTAACTGCCAACTTATTTATCAGTACATGACCTATCTCGTAAGGAAGCATTAAATATTGAATTTGCACCAATGTGTGGATATTTGTAAAATGTTGGCATAGTGCACAATAAAATATTGGAAACTGTTTATTTTGTGATTTCACCTTATGCACTAGCCAAGGTAAACCCGCTGAGTTCTCTCTCCCTTCTCCCTTGCCCCCACCCCCTCAGTAATAGAAAGAAGGGAAAGGATTGTGTAAAGGGCAAAGTGGGTGAACTAAAACCGATCTAAACGGCCCTAAATCAGTCCAGAAAACTCACAACATGCAAAGGAACGACCATTTGAGTGACTAAGGGAGAATTTCTCATTATGCTATGTACTTATTGACTGACTGTGAGAGGGCCGAACGGGAAAATACGCGCGTTCTGTGCGCCAGGCGAGAGCCATATATTTTGCCGTCCAGCGCGACCAAACTCAGTCATTAAGCATTTTATGATATGAGTACTAAGTATTGAGAATTTCGAAAATTTTGTTTCGACGTAGATACGATCTGCGACAAACTGACGCTCGCTGGACAACCACGAAAAAGATTCTTCAGTAAAAAATTTTGTCTTTTCGAGTCAGAACCAAAAACACGCAATTCATCGAAAAACGCGACTTTTTAAAATTATTATATATTTTTTCCTTTATAATTAGGTTTTTGCCACAAAGCCGTGTGGGAGTAGGACTAGACAGCTTCAAGTTCCGGAGCGGCCGGCTCACGTCCACACGTCAACTCCTCCGGCCCTGGGACTCGTTTCTCGAAGGTCCCGGTAAGTTAACGGGCCCGAAGCCATGATTTAAAATCAAAATTTAAAGGATAGGAAAGCAGCTTCGGACACTCAAACCAGTCCTTTTTCTTTCTTTAGCTGATAGTGTTATTGTATCATTTTCAAAACTTTTAAAATCCCCATCTTGAATGAAAACTGAACAGCTTTACGTGTCCGTTAACCCTACTTTCGAGAAACGGACCCCTGGTTTTCTATGGGCTTGAGCGCATGTGGCCGTACGGTTATGCCGTAACCCTCATATCTGCATATTTGTGCGAGCATGGGCTATCTGTGGTGACAGTCATATCACGTGTTGATGGGCGAGCTAAATGCAGCTCATGACTCAACCCCTGTCACGCCATTTTGGGCACGCGCACGAGTTTTGCGTACTGTCAGTTCACCTTTGGGAGGTTTAAAGGTACATTACGCCTAAGTTTAACCTATGAAGCAGGCCCATTCAGTGATAGATGGCATTTTTGTTTAAACAGTCATAACGTAATCACGAGCAAAGAGTTCTCGTCAGTTGAGTGAGAGTTGTTTGTTGGGAAACTGGACGGTACTATTTTGGCTCATCCTCCATGTAAAAACCTGTGAAGCTCACGAGTGACGTTAAACAAAGACAACAAAACATTATAAACAATAGCGTACAGCAAAACAATACCTCATGAAACAAAGAAAACCTCGTCAGGTTTTTACACCGAAGATGACCCACTATTTTTATGAACCTGACTTTTCAATAAGTTTGTCCGGTGATAGACATTTCTTTCTAAAATTTCTATCACCGTTTCTTCTCCACCTGTGCAATAAAAAATCCACCAGTTCTATATTCCAGTGATTTAAAAGGAAAAGATACGGAATGAATGCAAATCTCACTGATCAAATGTTTCTAAAATTTCGACGATCTTTTGGACAAAATGTTAGACGCACGTGAGTTTAAGATTACCTAGCGTTTCTCTATTGGTTTCACATGTACCAAAGATCCAGCAAAACTTAAACTATTACAGTAATCCCGTGATCACCTTTGAGCCCCGAGGGACGAACCATGTTTGGAAAACTGCGCCGGAATTGAGCTAAAATCACTATTTTTACCGCAATTGAATGTTGCAACTCAAGTGACCAATTTTCCGTTTTCGGTAAGAGTACATACATTGCTGCTCACGTCAACATGTCAAGCAATGCCTTCATCAGCTCTCAAACATGGATGACTCAGAAATTTAGAGGTCGACATTGTGGTAAAGATAAACAAACAAACAAATCGACAGCGGTTTAGCGTGGTCTATACTCTTATCGACAACGATATTCGTCATCACATGCAGTGGTCAAAATTTGTTGCGGACTCCCGAAGCACAGTCGATTTGTTAAATGGCGATCAGCTCATGCACTGCAGGTCAGATCGTCGGCCACACAAATAGATCACATGATAGCTACATCTTCAGTACGAGGACACATCCTTCTTTTTTCATCGAATACCAGTAAACAAGATGGGTGTGTCTTAAGATTTCAAATTCGCTACTTGTGGTTGTCGGGTTTATTT